AAATTATCCTCTCTTAGTACAATTTCCCCATCTGACAAACCCCACAGAAACGTCTCAAAGGTGAAAGTTTTGGCCTGTTTTCCCAAGGGATTTTTTTCCCTTTTTCATTAAGGGGGAAGCTCTGTCTGAAGCCCTGTTACCTTGGGGAGGAACTTCTCTGTAGTGCTGCTGTCTCTGGGTCCTGCTGAGCTGCAGGGTGGGCATTTTGGGTTTGTTCCATGCCCTTCCCAAGAGTTGTAACCCCAGGAAGGGCTTGCTTCCTCTGCTTTGGGACTGTATTTGAGAAACCATTGCAGACTGTAGCTATCCGGGCTGGAAGATTGGGATATCCACAGCTGACTCTCTCCTCTCCCAGGACAGCCCTGAGCGTCCTCAGGCAGCCTCCTGCCCTGCACTGATCAAATCTCCTCTCGAAGGACCCCGTGAAGAAGCAAATACAGACTGAAGTCCTTCCACACAAACTGCTGTCCAACCGTTGTCCTCTGGGACTGGAGAATCCCTGTGGACTCAGGTGGAATTCCTGATTCCCATGCTGGAAGTGGGGTGACGATTTGGCTCACTGGGTTAACCCTCTTCCCTCAGCTCTGCACCTTTCAGTCTGGGAGATGGTCAGGTGTTTCTCTCTCTGCCCAAGCAGGTCAGCATATTCTTCCAGGGCCATTATCCTGCTGCTCCCACAGCCTTCCTTAGGAACGCAGCAGGGAACTGCATCAAGGAAATGCATTAAGACGAATCAGCAAGAGAGAAGGGTACCTCTGGGCCAGCTCCCTGCTCCTCAATTATTTATACTTCATAATTTCCAGCAAATCACTGGCTGTTTATTGGTGCTCATCTATAATTGAAGGGTTTCCTAGATCACTGGCCAGCTTTGCTTAAGTTGTAGCTGGCCGTGCTTTCTGAAAGCTGTTACGAAAAGCCCACAGGGAAAGGCAGGGTCTCAGGAGTGGCTGGTCATCCATTGAGGATACACCCTTTTAATTTTTGGCTTTTGTGGGCACCTGGGACTGGGAGGTTTCCAGCGTGTGGTTTACCATCTCCATCTGACCGCACCACCTCGCGCTGCAGTACCAGGATGACCCTGCTCGGGAGGTGGTTCGAGGATTCTGCCTTCCCAAGGCCTTGCTCACACACTGTGCTGCCTGTTCTGCCAAGAAAAACCCCAAAAAACAACCAAAGAAACAAAACAGTGGAAGGTTTTGATGCTCCTGGAATTCTTGGAGGGGCTGTGAAAAAGGAGCTACTGTTGTGAATGGAGACGAAAAGCCAAAGCCTTGAAAACCTTCAAGAGCTCAAAATCCAAAGGGGAAAATAATCAAGTGCATTCTTGTGCAGGGAACAGAGTTGGCTTTGCGTGCTTGGGATGGCTCCTTCATCAGGCCTGGCGGGTCTTTCTTCTGTGACATTTCATCTTAATTTTTCTCTTTTGACTTCAAAATTAACTAATTTTGGCCGAGGCGGTCGAACACTTTTGTTTAAAAACACCAAACTGTGCTATTTTGAAAATTTTTATTTTACTGTGCTGTTTTCAGATTAAAAAAAAAAAAAAAAAAAAATTTCTGGAAGCAGCTCCTTTCAGTGTGAAGAACTTCACACCAGAGCAACTAGGAAATTCTACTGAAAAAATGTTTTGTTGAAATGTTCCCAACCGGCCCTATCCATCACTTCCTTTCACTACTTACCCAATAAAAATAGCTCCCACATACCGCCGCAGTCAGGAGTGCCATGTTACAGAAGAAGAAATAACTAAGCCAACAAAATGACTCACATTCCAAAGATAATATATAAGGTAGGGCCCGGCCAACTGGTTAGATTCAAATTAGAACCAGCCTCAGCCTTCCTGCCCGAAACAAACTGATCACAAAATATGATCTGTTGTTATTTTTTGATGTTTGCTCGTCTTATTTTCGCACCCTTCCACTCATGATCCCACTTCTGCCTCAGTGGAAGGGGACACTCTTTTAATGCTGCCGTTTCTCCTCATTTTCAGCCTAACTAAAAGCAGGAAGGAACAGGGCTGTGGCAAGGGGATTTGTTCTTGGAAAGAGATTTTTTTTTTTTTTTTATTTTTTGAGCTCTGTTTCAGCTTGGAGTTTGGTTAAAGCAGATCTAGAGCCCTGCACAATTGAAATTTTACACTGCTGGGTTTCTCTTTTTCTTTTTTTTCTTTTTTTTTTTTTTGGGGGGAGGATGATATATATTGAAGCAGCAGAGCCGTGGACCTCACAGAAACCAGCCAATATGTGATTCTGTGATTCTGTGCTGTGCATGAGCGTAAAGAACCGGACCACTGGGCTCCCAACGTGCCCCTTAGAGCCTAAAATATCCCTCTTAATTTTAAACCTATAAATCAAAGGCCTAAAACTTTTAATTTTATTGTTGTTGTGAGGTGCTGAACTAATACCCCGAAGTTTTTAGCTCGTTAATTCTGTCGATCTCCACAAGAGCTCTCGTTCCAGCAGAGCGAGCCCTTCATGTAAAAGTACAACTTTTCAGCCAGGCTGGTGGTGCTTTTTCGGAGCAGCTCATGGTTTAGGGTGAATGCATTTTAAAGCAATCTATAAATCTTTATGATCTTTGTTTTTCTTTCTCCTGCGTGCATACTTGGCAGGCGTTTCCAGTTTGCATCACTGAAAATTTGATTCACCTCTGTGTACAATGGGTGAGAGTTGCCCACATCTGAGAAGCCAACATCCAGCCCTTTGCACCTTCTAAATCTTCAAAATAGGACTGAAGCAGGACATTATGGTTTGCCAAACCGTTGCAGAGCCTCCCCCTGAAGCTGAGCCGAGTTTCAGCCAGGCAGAATGAAGGGGGTGAGGGTGGAGAATGAATTACTGTGACCTTGCAATGTGCTGTGAAAGAAAAAAGTAATTTGGGGGCTGCAGAACTGATTATTGCTTTCTTTTCTCCGTGGCTCTGGTGCTTTTAGATGGCTGCCTGGATGATTGCATTGCATTTTGGGCAGCCTCTTATCAAAATCTGGAAGCTTAGGGGAAAGTAAATTAATATTAAAGGTCTACAGAGACCAGCTTCTGGGGAAGGGTTTTGAGTCCAGCAGGTTTGATTCAGATGAGCAGCACACAGAGGGGATGGAGTAAGAGGGTGAAAGAATAGCTGGGAATGGTGACTGGATGTGGAAAGGGGAGATTTTTCTGGGTGTGGATTTTGTCTGCTGGAGGAATCTGTGTGTACGAGTGGGAATGTTCAAAGGGAGGCTGAACAAAGTCCTGGGTGATGTGATGGGCATGGCCATGGGGTCACACTAGATGGGAGTTTGTCTCTGGATTAGTTCTGTGGAATCTCCCAAGAGTATAAAGAGCTGGGTAGCTGAAGGTTTGGGTGTGTGGTGAAGATCTCAGCAGTACTTCAGGGACAGTCAGTGTGTGCTGGGGCAGTGCTGCCCCAGAAGGTGGCAGAGTCCCTGCCCCACAGGGGAACAGACCAGGCCAACACCATCCAGCTGCCTGCTCTCCATCCGAGTTCCCTCTGGATGTCTGTCCATCTGGGCTCTCCCACTCTCTGGGAAAAGAAAGGGAAGTGCCGTTTTACACAGCCAGTGAGGGAGCTCAGGCTTTTCCTGAGCACAGGCAGCTCCCAGCCAGGGGTCTCTGCCACGACTGCAGCCCTGTCACAAAGGGCAGGCACCTGCCCAAGGTGTGTGTGCACCTGAGGGGCCCCCAGGCTGCTGCCACCACCCTTCTGAAGGGAGGAATGGGAAGAACAAACAGCCCTGGAAGCCACAGAATCATGGAGTAACAGAATAGTTTGGGTTGGGAAGGGACCTTTTAGACCACCCAGTGCCACCCCCTGCCATGGGCAGGGACACCTTCCACCAGCCCAGGGTACTCCAAGCCCCGTCCAGCCTGGCCTTGGACACTTCCAGGGATCCAGGGGCAGCCACGGCTGCTCCGGGCAACCTGTTCCAGGGCCTGCCCACCCTCACACTGAAGAATTTTTTCCTCATATCAGGCCTAAACTTCCCCTCTTTCCCTTTGAAGCCATTCCCTCTTTTTCTGAGGATTGCTGCATTCGAGAGAGCTGGAGTTTGGAACTGCCCAAACTCCCAAGGTGCTGCCACGTGTGAGTGAGGGACGAGAGGGACGGAGGATGAGGAAGGGGCAGCCTGAAACTGGGACTGGAGCCTTTGCCTTGGATCTGAAGAAACGAATCCAGCCAGGGCGAGGGCACGAGGCACTTCACAGGAGAGCTGTCGAAAAGCCTTTCGTGCCACATCCCTTTGACTCCCTCTGGCTTTGAACCAAGCCTGGAACCGCCAGTGTTTATGGTGCTCGGTGGTGTTTAGTGCCTGGCTGTTACTGAATATCTTTGCTGTGTGTTAACAGGGTGGTTTCTGGGGACACTCGGAGGAGTTAAGGAAAACAAGCTGGAAGTTGGAAGTTAAAGTAGACGGTGGGATCGCTGCTGTTTTGTTATGGTTGAGTCCTTCTGCCCAGCTCTGTAGTTGCATCAGTGACCATCCATCCTCCCACGTGGAGAGGGATGCTTTGGAGATGCTCTGAAGTGTCAGATGGCATTTTCCTTTGCTCAGGTGTTGGGAAACTTCTTAACACTCTTGTCCAACATCCCCGGCAAAGGTACTGATTGTTGGGATGATCTGCACCAGGAAATAAATAAATAAAAGCCATAAGAACAGAAAGTGCACCCTCCCAAGATAGCTTTTATGTAGCTAGAAAAGTGAGGTGGTTTCCTGTTCTAAATATTTAACATGATGTTTATGATATGTCCTCTGGGGGAAGAGATGCTTGAAAGCTAATGTTTATGAAGTAAGTCTGGAGGGGTGGAAAGGGGAGGGAGGGCACACTAACTAGGAAAGAAAAAAAAAAAAAGAGGAGGAATAAAAAGAAAAAAGAACCTCAGGAGATGTCCTGATTTATGGCTTTACTTGCTGGAGAAAAATCTCTGTTTTGTTAAAAAGGTTGCAACTGAAGGAAAGCAACTTCAACTCTGCTCCTTTTGAAACCAGAAACCTGTTCCCTCAGTGCAGACAGGATCTGAGCCTGGGCCAGCAGGAATCTTTCACTGGCTGCTGCCTTTGTGCTTTGGAGCCCTGCAGAAGGTGAATGTGTGTCTGCATCACGTGAGGGCTGGACTGATGGGCTGATGCTTCAGGAGCTGAGCTACGTTTCAGAAAGGAGGGGTGAGTTCAGTTTCCTACTCTGCCAAAGGCTTCTGGTGTGATATTTGGGTGTTTAATCTTCCTTTGTCTCTGCTCCCTGTCTGGGAATAGCAACAATTTCCTGATTCACTGGGAGATTGAAAATAAATCACTTTATTGTTATATAGTTAAAAAATAAAGGCCTGGATAGCCATTATTTTAGGAGGGGTGACTGAACTCCTTGTGAAGCACACTCAGAATGGATGGTATTTTTCAACCCAGGTTATTAAAAATAAACCAATGCTTGGCTTGGTTTACCTTAGTAATTCTGTATGTGAACTGCAGCCATTCAGAATCAACTTCAGAGGTCCAGGGAAAGGCAGTGGAGCTGGGAAGGGCAGTGGAGCACCAGGAGCGGCTGAGGGAGCTGGGGGAGCTCAGCCTGGAGAAAAGGAGGCTCAGGGGGGACCTTCTGGCTCTGCAACTCCCTGACAGGAGGGGGGAGCTGGGAGGGGTTCAGGCTCTGCTCCCAGGGAACAGGGACAGGAGGAGAGGGAACGGCCTCAGGCTGTGCCAGAGGAGGGTCAGGTTGGATATTGGGAAAATGTCTTCACTGGAAGAGTTGTCCAACCCTGGCACAGCTGCCCAGGAGTCCCCATCCCTTGAGGGGACCTGTGGATGTGGCACCTGGGGACACGTGTTAGTGGTGGCCTTGGCCGTGCTGGGGGATGGTTGGATTCGGTGGCCTCAGAGGGTCTTTTCCAACCTCGATGATCCTGTGATTCATGATGGCTTTGCCATCCTCACCACAGGACGTAAATCCCTTGTGGAAAGTTGTAGGTCAGAGAGATGGCAACACCAAGTGTTCCCACTGCTCTGAGTTTCGGTAGTGGGGGTTCCTGACACCTCCTTTCCCTGACTGTGCCTGATGTGGGGGACGTAGTTAGAGAGACAAGGCTGAAGGAGGTCAGTGCAGCTCCTGCCCGTGGTGCTGGCAGGTTTGCTGGGTCCTCAGCGAGCCCTTGGTGGTCCCTTGGAGCACCACAGGCCTCAGATCCTGGGACTGAGGAGGCTGGAAGGTAAACACGAGAAATTTCCAGCGTAATCTTGTCTAAGATGAAACTCCCCGTGGCTTTAGCACTGGCCTTTGAAGGTTTCAAAGAAGTCAGAGGCCAGGCAGAAAAATCCCATGTCTTAATCAATATTTTAGGCTTTTTCTCTGTGTTTGGCTCAGCCTGGCTGGGAGTCAGGCCGTTTGTTTCAATTATTAAATCCAGATTTATGACCTGTTGTTTTTCTTGGAAATAGAGCCAGGCTTGGGACCAGTTTTCTCCTTGCAAATAACTGTGGCTGCAGACATTTCATGCAGGTAGAAACGTGTCTGTCGTGTTTATAAACACCCAGTTTCCTACTGGTTTGCTCCCTGTCCCCGCGGCTCTGACCTCTGTCTCCAAGGTGTAACATTCCCCTGTCCCTTTTTCTGGGATTACAGTGTTTTGCACAGGATTATTCTGCGTTTGATGGCTTTTCTTTGACTTGCTCTCAGCAAGCTCTTGCAGGACTTTCCAGCAGAGAAAACCCCTGCACTGTGACAGGGCACTGCTGGGCGATCCTGGTTTGGTGACCGGCAGGTCCAATCATTCCAGCATGGGAATATTTCCACTGGTGTTGATAAGAGCAGAGCACTCCTCACTCAGCTCCCTGCTCTGCTGTAACAACTGTATTCCAGTAACAAGCGTGGATGTTTTCCTTTTATTTAGATGTTTGTGTCTGATTGTTGTTAAACAAAGTAATTTCGGTAACAGGGATGGTCGGAAAGGCCTTTGAACTTGGGTAGAGTTCAGATGTTTTGGGTAAAATTTATCAAACAGTGAAAGTTGATAATGTGTGACTGTAGTAATACGTTAAAAAAGCAGGGAGACGAGTCTGCTGCTCCTTCCAGCTAACCAGTGGAGCTGCAGGAGGAGCTGTGAAGAAGGTTCTTCCTTTAAACCTTGCTGATAACACACAGAGAGGGCTGTCGTACGTACATGGCATTTAATTTTTTTTTAAAGGCTCCCCTTTGCCCTAAAGTTGTGAATCTCTTAAATTCCAACGTGAGAAGTTACCAAACATAAGAAAAACAGCAAACCCTTCCCCTCCCCACACCCCTGCCATACACACCCCTCCAAAACTTCCCGTATTACCTGAGCATCTGGAGCACCGAGCTGAGGGGAACATGGTTTTTAAAGGTGTTGTTTTTTTTTTAAGCAAAAAATCCCTAACTCTAATCTATAACCCCCTTCAGACCTGCCTCTGGGGAGAAACCCACCAATTACTATTTACTTTACCAACCTGGAGTGATTTGTGGACGTATGTAAGAATTATTTACGGTTTCATGCAGGAAAAACTTTCAGCTCCCTATTTGCCCTTGTAAGTAATGAGTTGCCTCAGGGGATCAAAGGTCAGATTTTGGTTTTAATGCCCACCTCCTTTTAAAAAATAAATAAAGCAATCTATGTGAAAAGACGAAGAAGGAAAAAAAAAAAAAGACCTCTAACAGTCTGAAAAGGCTCTGACTCCTGCTCTGCTTTGATGTTTTAGGTCTGGAAGGGATCATAAATTTGCTGGTGTGAGATAGAGTGATAATAAATGTAGCTTTTAACTGCTGGGTTTTTAGCTCACACTGCATCCATTATCACTGGCAACTGCAAAGGGAATGTACTTTTTTTTCCTTGTTGCTCTTTAGAAAGATAAATATTCACCCCACTACCCACTGATATCCCAAAAGCTCAGATGAAGCATTTCCTTGTGATCATTCACCAACAACTTTCATTCTTGGCCCAAATGATTCAGGGGTGTTGATAAGGGCCCAGAGGGGTTAACCTGCCACTTAGTTCAGCATTCCCTGTGTCAGCTCTTCATTGGATGGATACTTTTCCAGCAGTTTGAGGGGTGGTGAGCAGGGAACAGCCAAGGAACGGCTTGAAACAGAGAATTTGTTTGTGCTTCAGAGTCTGGGAAGTCTTGAGGTTCCCAAGAGTGCTGGAGGCAGAATGACTGCTTGGTTTTAGAAGGACTTTTGCAGCTCTGTTGTCCCTCCTTCTGTGAAACTCCTTCCCTGGAGCCCTTCCTTCCTCCTTCTTCCCCATAAATCAGGCCAGGACGGTGCCCAGGCACGGTGTCACTGTGTGCCCTGTCACCACACCTTAGTGCCAGCCCCAGGGGGTGTCAAGCTCAGGCAAGGGGCACTTTTGGAAAGGACTTTAAAAGTCTGATGGACACTTGGTGCCTCCCTGGAGCGGAGCTTCCAACGCCAGAGCCCCTGTTGAGTCATGGGATTCTGAAATGATGCTGTTAATAAATTATTGCAGCCACTTAGATGTCTATTAATGTCCTGTTGCTGAATGCCAGCAGCCTCATGTTCCAACAATTTCCACAAGCACTTATTGATCAGGTATAGATTGGGAATGAATTTTGCCAAATCAGTTTATTCTCCCTATCTATCTCTTTCCAGCTGCTTTGCTGTGTGGAGTAAACACTTCAGCTATTGCTTTTATTTTCCCCTAGATCAGCAGTTAAGTCATTTTTACTCAACTCTCATCCATTATGGATCACTTCTGTTGGAAGAATCATTTGTTATTATTTTTTTAAGTTCAGCAATAGATTTCTTTCTTTGGTCTGCTGCAAAACTTAATGATTTTCCATATGTTCTTTCAGGCCTCCCATCTAAATGAGAATGTCATCCACTCTAAACTGTTGGAAAATACTAGACAGCACTTTTAAATAAACAACATTCAGTGGGTATATTAAAAAACACTGACTTGATCTTTACTTACAACTCGCATGCAGTTAATACTATTATTTATGATATCTCTGCTCTTAGTTGTTTTAAGTGTTTTTTTATGTCTTTATTGAAATTGCATCTATCAGAGGATACCTTTTCTCACTTGGCCTTTCTATTCCAATCCTGGAAATCAGCCCCTTTTTTTCATAGATACAAAAAAATGTGAGGCCGAAGGGCTGTGTCACGTAGTCTGAATTCTTCAGGTCCTTTGAATGCGTTTGGTTACCAGTGGCCAACCCAACTTCCAGAAAAGTGCTAACAGGTAATTCCTGTGGCTTCTGAGCATTTAACTGCTCATTTGGATAGGTCTGGCTGCAGTTTCTGACCGAGCCAACCCACGTGGTTTTACTTGAAGCTGCAGTTCTCTCTCTGCCTTTTCACGGTATCAGCTTTACTTTGACTTGGGGGCAGGCAAAATTTTTACCATGTTCATCATCTTGTTTTTCTGCTGAGCCTGTGTCTTGGAGTATATCAGAGGATTACTGTGGAGTGTTGTCTGAGTTCCTCACACTTTGGCTGCTTGCTCTGACCATGCCTTTGCTCCTCTCTGGGTCCATGCAGGTGGCCAGACCTGTCACCCTGAGGTGTGTTTAGCCATTACAAGGTGAGCCATTTCATCCCCCAAAGTTTACCTAGGACAGATGGGTTGTGTTACCGTGGGGAGATGTCTGTGCCATTGGCTCAGCAGAGAGCCTGGAGGATTGTTCTAGGCTAGACCTCATTTCCTGACTCCTAAAATTAACTCAGATGGATCCTGCTCAGATGCACATAGTTACAAATTTCTATAACCCTAGAAATGTTTTTTTATGGACAAATTTTTATCTTAGCCATGTGATTTTATTGAGAGAATCTTACCTCTTGAAACTGGCTGTTTTTATCAGGCCATTCTCAGTTCTTTGTTTTGATTCTCAGACTGTCCCAGCTATCTGGGATGCCACATAAGAAAGGTTATTTAGTTGTCAAACAGCAGATGGATTGCTCATCCCCTGGGTAATCTCATGGTAAAAAGGAGACCTGGATTTCAGCGACCACCTGGAACTGAGTCTGGGAAAATATCTCAGCTTAATGTAAACCTGAGCTGGACTCTGGTGGCTGTAAGGCTGGGCTCTAGATAAGGTCCATTCTGGGATTGAAAACATCTGCTTCCCTGGGCTGGATCTTGTCCATCCTCCTTGGAATGGGACAGCTACTCATGGGAGACGTCAGCCAAGCTCTG